TGAGCCATGTCTGGTTCAATACATCTGTGACCTATACTGCATGCTGAACAGCACCTCTTAACTCTGCTTTTTGTAGCTTTATTTTATCTTTCCAAAGCCACTACCATGGGGTCTTGTGGTGGCACAATCCCACAGTCTCTCTGCTGCTCAGGGTGATTTCGGACAATGAAAAAGATGTCTGCATAAGAGACCTCATCCCACTTTCCCTCTCTCCTCAAGAACAGCATTAACTGCAGGAGGGTTTTATAACCTAAAGATCCAAAAAGTGGCCATTTCGCCCCATCATCTAATTTATATAAAGGCCACCAATTGTTGTAATATTTAATAAGAAATTTCTYATTTTCCAGTCCTCTTGTTCCAACTATTTCTTTCCAGTGTACTAATATMYACCCGTGGGGGGTTTTTGCCATTATTTTGTTACCCTGGCTACTTCCAATTTTATTCCATTGTTATAGTACTCACTCCAGATCACTTGTATTATATTAACCACTTTTTGTGTACCTTTTATCTCCTTGGGTAAAACCACTGGAGTGGGGGATGTCTCTGGGTTAGTGTTCCCTTCCCATTTTTCTCTCCCCGCCCCGTTTAACTGCTGTGGCTTAAACTACCATACACAGCATGCAATCACACAACACACAGTCACAGCAAAGACACATTACACAATAAACTAATGAAGAAATATAACTTACTTCCTGAATCCGGGCTCTTGGGCAGAGCCACTTCCTGGTTCCTGTCTGTGCTTCACTTCCAGGATCTGGGTCTCCACATACACACATATACAGTCTCGGAGCTACATACAAACACATGAACAGGTTCTGCCCACCCTTTCTCCTGCCTCCTATACAGTCACTGGCAGGCCTGTACTCAGGTATCAGCAGAACTTTCGCCTCGATTCCACTTGGCAGATCTTGCGAAGTCCTTTCCTGGCCAGCAATCAGCCGGCACTTGCAAGCCTAACAGACACCTCGTTGTGCACCAGGCATCCCTGGTGTCTTACCACTGCCATGGCTACGCATACGGCTTGTAGACTTACTGATTGATATGCATATCGTTCCTATGAAGCACCAGTGGGTACTTGTCTGCCCGTGYGGTGGACGTACTGGAAGYGGGGTTCTTTCAGGGAAAAAGACCTGGGATGCGCCAAAGAGTGCAATTCTGGCCAGGCCCTGCGCCGGACCGAAGCTCTACTGGCTGGTTCGCCAGAATGATCCAAAAATGATCTGGGCAAGACTCCGCAACTTATATAATTTTAAGTTGTGAAGTAGGTATGTTTATTGCAGCRCCAGGTRTGCGGAAAGTATTCCTCAAAGCCGTGCACACCCCCAGCATGGCATCGCTTGGTATATATGTGGTTACATGTTACACATTCACTGAGTTTCAAAATTCGCCTATACATATGCATGACATATCCCCACTTCGTATTATAATGAGTTCAAAAGTTTCAGAAGGGGGTCTCGAGAGGAAGTAAAATATTCATCCTCTTAACTTGTGTTGGTTTTGCTTGGCCCAGTTTTTGGAAGTTGGGGGGCCAAAAAGATGGCTCCTGTGAGAAGCTTCTGCAGGCTTCCACCATGTCCAGCAAAGCCAATTGCTTTTGGCTCTGAGGATGATGGACATGCCACTGACAGAACCTGGGCCAATTGAAGATGGTGGTTACGCCTCTGTGAAAACATATTTAAGAAGAAATCAAAACAAATGGGGAGACACAGTAGTTTTGCCAGAGGAGGAGGAGGAGGCTGAGAATATGTGTGGGAAGCAGACACCAAGGTCAGTGGAGCAGGAGAGGGAGGAGCTGCTCCAGGCACCAGAGCTGGGATTCCTTTGCAGCCTATGGTGACGACCATGGTGGAGCAGGCTGTCCCCTGCAGCCCATGGGGTCCACAGAGGGAGCAGAGATGCACCCGCACCCCGTGGAGGAGGGAGGTCCCCACGCTGGAGTGGGCGGATGCTGAGAGGGGGCTGTGTCCAGCAGGATACCCGTGGAGAGAGAGGCCTTGCTCCCGAGATGGAACAGCCTGGCCTTGGGCCTGCACCCAGGGGACGAGGGACCCCACAGTACAGCAGTTTTGGAACAACTGTCTGCCTGTGGGGGGCTCATGATGCAGCAGATGTGTGTGGACTGCTGCTCGTGAGAGTGGAACCACACTGGAGAGGTTCACCGAGAACTGTCTCCCGTGGGAGGGACCCCACGGCAATGCAAAGGAAGGACTTCTCTCCCTCAGCAGCTGCAGACTATCGGGTGATGAACTGACCAACCCCCACACCTTGTTCTCCCCTCCCCTGCTTTGTACTGTTGGTGGGAAGTGGGGAGAGAGTGGGGAGAAGGTCRGTGTCTTTGAGGGTTTTATTTTATTTCTCATTCTCCTCCTCTGACTTTGTTAGTAAAAAATTCATGTCATCATTTAAGTAGAGCCTKTTTTGTTCTTCAAGCATTTCCTCCCTGCTCCTTATCTCAATTAATGAAYCCTTTTGTTAATTATTTTTTTCCTTCGCTCTTCTCTGCCCAGTGGTGGTGGGGGAGAGCAAATGAGCAGGTGTTGTGGGTGCCTGGCTTTCAGCCAGCATTCTAAACCACAACAGAACTTTTCACCGTTCTGTCTTGCACATGCTCTCTGAGTCCCTGGCCCAAGTCCAAACAACTCTGGTTTTAGCCAGCATAGGGGTTCCACGAACACAAGCTGGATCACWGTCCCTGCTTTTGTCAATAATCTTTTACTTCTCATTCTGCTTTGACAAACACAATAAATGTTAAGTAAGCAATATACACTGTCTAMCAAGCAGTTAGTGATATATACTGTTTAGCAAGCAGTTTCTAACAAGTTATCCCGTAACTTCTAACTTCCCTGCATCACAGCTACAGTGGATAGCTATCTCCTTAAGAATTTCTATTTAATATTTATCTATGTATATCTTTTACTTCTGTATTAATTTTTATCTCCTGATTGTTTTCYAATAGCACTCATGATGCTACGAAAAGATGAGGAAATGTCAGAATATTTGAAAAGTTTCTTCTAAATTTTATTAAAATCATATTCTCAAAAAAAGTTCTGAACAAATGTGGTAGTATCCTATATTTCTTTATGTTTATATGCTGAAATGTATGGCCTRAAAAAGCCCAGCCCAAAATTAATTGAAGCACTTCAAAAGAATATGTTTTTTTCCAGCTTTCAGCAGTTTATGCTAGGATTTAAGAATCAAGATAGATTCAAATTTTGTCTCTGACACAATATATTGTTTTGCTTTGCACATTTGTTTTCTGTTTGCACAAACAGAACAAATCCAGCTAGTCTTTATTCCTTAAAGTGTAGTAAGGAAACATTTACAATACTCTGAGCAGATGTACACATTTTGRAATATATGTATATTCTCATGTCCTAATTTCAAGTCAATATACTTGGTCCATGGATTATTTTGAAACCTTAAATTTGATTAAAATTGTGTTAAGATCCTGTAGCGATGTGTTTCTATGATTTCCACAGGGTTAGATTTGGAAATTACATACATTCAAAATAGCAAAATTTCCTTCAAATATGAGTCTGAGGCAGTACATTACAAATGGACTCTACACTGTGCTTTGCTGCCCTCAAGCTGRTGGATATTTAGCTGTATAATGGTCTGATATTTTGCAGAGCTCAAAAAGGTGTATATATAGAATGGATTCAAAATATTCTGCATGTATTTAAAAGCTTGAAGGCACTGTTACTGAAATACTGAAATGAATCTTACAAATAAACTATCTTCAAAGTCTACTGATTTTTCTTCCTTTGCTCTATCTTTTGTTAAACTCTTATCAATTATTTTGTCAAGTGTCTTTTGCCTTTCCATTAAGTTTGGACAAATAGAAATAATTGTAATACATTGCATTATGTTACTGCTTTTACTATTTATTTCTGACACGGTTTTGATTAGATGGAAAGAATTGTTGTCTTAAGCACTTAAATGCAGTGTCGTGAGTTTAACACAATTTTGTACTAAAGTAAAAGACTGCTAATGTTTCCAAACTTCAGGACTTCAAAATGCAGCATTGTTTCTTTGGGCAGCTACGGGAATGGGAGGAGGGCTCCAGTAGTACCTCCCATATGTTCAACAGAAGCTGGGTGGAGTGGTGGACGTTGGCCCTCACAGGTTCGGCCAAGTCTTTAGGGCACCCCTGAAAATCGGTGCTCATCTGTTAAAACCAACCTCCAACAGTGCCCTGCCCCGCCCAGGATCTGTACGTGCTCCCTTGGAGCATTCCTAACTTAAGAAATTATTCATCATGTATTTGGCTTCTCTTCAAGAAAAATTATAAACAGTTCAGCATTGAAAAAATGCCACATGTAGTGCCACAATGTAAGCATTACCATTTACAAAGCGTTATACTTTTTGTGRGCAGCAGAGCAGGCGAGTGAGGCTTTGCCCAGGGCCCACTGCTGCTCTAGAGTAGCTGCACCCTCAGAAGCTGCTGGAGCGARCTTGGCCCTGGAACAGCAGCTGTTCACCCCTTAAAATACAGAGCAGCTGTAAGCACCAGGTGGCTTGAGAGTGTTGTCCAAGCGCTTTTTAAACTTTGACTGGCTTGGTGCTGTGGCCACTTCCCTRGGGAGCCCTAGGGTGCCTGTTCCAGTACCCGACCACTCTCTGGATTAAAACGTTTTCCTAATATTTAACCTAAATCGCTTGTGACTCAGCTTCATGCCTTTCCCTTGGGTCCTGTCATTGGTCACCGCAGAGAAGAGATGCCTCCATATCCCTCACGAGGAAGTTGTAGACTGCTTTGAGGTCTCATCCAGGTTGACTAGACCAAGTGACCGCTCCTCGTATGGTTCCTTGGGTTCGAGGGTGGCGGGAGAAAAGGAGGGACACAGGGAGGGGCTGACGGGCGAGAGCGGCCGTGCTGTTCAGTCGTTTCCGCCGCCCCGCTTTGAACTTCCCGCCCGCCGCCTGCTCTTCCCGTTCGCCGCCGCACTTTCCAGGCTCTGCGGGCGGCAAAAGCAACGGGTGGCCGCGGCCTCTGTACGTGCCCTCTCGGGGCGGTGCTGAGGGCGGCCACCGGCCCGGTCCGCCCCGTTCCCTCGGGTCCGCACTGGGCTGGTGCCTCCGGCGGTGGCGAATCTGCTGGGCCGGTCCCGCTGCTAAAGCGGTTTGGGCGGTTGTCAGGGAGAAGCAAGATGGCGGCAGCGGCGGCGGAGGAGGATACGGAGCTGCGGGACCTGCTGGTGCAGACGCTGGAGAGCAGCGGGGTGCTCAATAAGATTAAGGTGGGCGAAGAAGAGCCTCCCGCCGGCGGGGAGCGTTGGCTGGCGCTGGCGGCAGCTCGCGGCCCTGYGGAGTGTGGATGAACCGAGGTTCTCCGGGCTTCGTCCCCTCTCACTCTCGCTTCCATCTGGTGCTCCCGGCCGGCGCTCTCCCTGGGCGTCGCGGCCTGGCGGTGGCGCCTGCTTCCCCGTGGCGTTCCCGGGCCGCTCGTGGTGGAGCTTGTTCGAAGGCCCGGGGCCTGACCGCCGCACGGCGCTGCCCTGGAGCCGCGGGAATTTGAGGTCCTCCGGACGGGCAGAGGGAGGAGAGCGCGGGGCCGCCGCAGGGAGCGCGGCGCCGGCGGTGCGCGTTCACCGTCGCAGGTTCCGTGTGCCCGCAAGAGCTCCCTTTTTGCCACGAAAYTGGCGGGAAGCAGTGGGCAGCCGGGTGGTGCGGAACCGGGTGGGTAAAGTTAATCGCTGCTTCGATACGGAAAGCCCTTACTGAAAATTTCAAGAGAGTTGTTGTGGGTCGCTATTAAAGCACTTGTTACTGAGTGTGGGTTGCTTCAGCTGTGCCTTGGAAGGCTTGTTAAGTCTAGAAACTGGAGATGCTGGCTGCTTACAGGGAGCAAATAACGCTATGTTAAAAAAATATACGGAAGATAGTGGAGTGCACACTACTTCTGAGTCTGTGGTGCAGCCTGAGTTTGTGTCAAAAAGGGTAGGAAAATTGGTTCCATGGATTCTTGTTCAAATGAGAAACTCTCAGCTGTAATTATTTGTATATTAGAGAGCAACACAGGTATGGAAGCCTAAAAAAGCATGGGTTTCCTTCAAGGCTAGAGGAGAAAGGAAGTGTGGATTTCAGATCAAGGATGGTGCTGTTGATCCACAGTGATCTGTTTTAAGCTTCCGGAGGTGGATGGTCGTTGCTGATACTTCAAGAACAGTTCAACTAAAGTGGTTAATGAAAGTGAGAGCATCTTTGTGTGTATAGTTTCAAGTCTACTGCATTTTGAACTAGTCATACTTTTCAACAAAATAATATTAAAAACCATATTGTTCATCCCTTTCAAATGGATGATCCTTATTTAAAATCTGTAAGTAGATAAAGATTCTAGCTCACGTAGCTGTGTTTTAAATAGGKAGAAGGTTTTTCTAAAAGATATGAAATAGGCATCTTGGGCCACCTGCTAACCACTCACATACTGTTAAACAATGCAAGTATAGTGATAATAAAATTGTAATTAAAAAAAGAATGACAAGACAATTGGGTCATATTTAGCTCATGAACTGTAGTTTCTTAATTCCTGCCTTTGTGTAGTATTTAAATTTTCATACTGTGGTTTCCAATTCATCGAGTTTTGTGTAAATATGTTTATTGTAGTTCACTATTCTATAATGCTTAAAGTGTGTGGTATCAGATATTGTGTAAGGTATCATTAAGGCAAACTAGCAAATTACTTAGAAAAATACAAACTGCAACCTCCTTGCTAGATTATATCTTTTTTTGATACAAGATGGGACTGTTCAAAACTGGTATGCTTATRGCTAAGGCTGTTGATTAGAGGAATTCATGGTGGTTTTTTTTCTTAGCTGTAAACCTTAATTGGCACGTGAGTTTGATGACTGTTGATTGGTAATGTTGAAGACTTACACAATTTGTTCCATGGCTATCTGACAAAAAACCCATTGCTGGAAGAATTAAGGTTCAACAAGGCTTCTTAAACGGTCATCTTTTAATTGTAATTAGATTATACCATTCATTTAAAAAGTTGCAGTCATTGTTTTATTAAAAYTACTTGAACATAATTTTGTTCAATTTCTTTTTATTCTGGGTAGAACTGAATGATTACATGTTATCAAATAGTTGCTTATTTTATACTTTCGAGTGAGTACTGATCATTTTTCATGATAGATGATGATAGAAAGATGTAATAATGCTTTTGTGATTTACTGAAGCAGTTACATTAAAGAGAAAAAATATGCGGTCAATGTATAGCTACACTGGTGTGAAGCACTATAGATAAAAACAGCTCTGGAGGGRTTAGAATTCAAGGGGAATTATTTCAGTGGATGGAATGTATTGGAGTGTCATACATTTGTAATGTAATAAGCGTAAGTTTTAGAAAAACTTATTGTGACAACTTCGTTCTCTGATAAAACATGATTTTATAATGGGTTGCAGTTAATTMGTGTATTCTTATTTTGAGATTAATTTCTTGGGTGCATTGGTGTTAACATAAATTATTTAGCTGAAAAATGTTACTTGTATGACATTTTAAAAATTTGTTCATGGATATGTCTTAAAGTTTGAGCACTGGAGTAATTAATGAAGTAATATTGTGAAAACTGGAAGTTATGTAAGCGTGTTTGCTGTTTGCAGTTGAGAATTTCCTGTATTCTCTAAGCTGCAATATGTGTGTGTAGATATATRCACACAAATATGTATAGAGAGAACAGATATATACTATATATAGTTTGTTAATCACTGGAATTAGTCTGATGGATAAGACAGCTTTCTAATGAATTCTGTAAGCATACAGAACGTAAATGTAGATATTTATACTTCAGTGAAAATTATCACTGTTTCTGTGTGATAGTGAACAAATAGGGATGTTGTGTCTTGAAAAGAATATGGTCTTTCTCTGAGGGAAGCTGTCATCATCTGAGCAAGAGAGGCCATTATGCTTCTTGTCTATTTCTTTATTATACTTTGTTTTGGTTTATATCTTTTAATCTCTTTTGTTTTGGAATAATTTAAGTTTATACTACCTGCATTTTTCATCTTCTCTGGAACTTGCTGTTGCTACGGTTATGACAGGGCTTAGCATCACTAATGCCATATGCCTAGTGGAGTATTTTTGAGATGCCACCTAAGAAGTGTTTGGGAAGCTTTTGAGATAGTAAGAGCTGCTGTCATCATTTCCAAGGAATCGCAGATGGAGGGAGCTGTTTTCCTGGGCAGTACTTAGGATACATACAAAAGGCTCTGTATTTGGAATAGGATAAACTTACCCAGGTTCTAAAGAAGGGTACTATAGATCAGTGCAGAAAAGACCCTTTTTTCATGGACTACAACTTTTGATTTATAGTCCAACAACAATCAGTAAAAAAGAGTATTTTCTGATGAGCTGTAAATGCCTGGAAGGAAAAGGGGAAATGTACTTTTGTTTCAAAAAACTGACCCATACATTTCTCTAATACAGACAGTATTTGTCATGTACAATGTTAGCCTTACTTGTTCTAGATCAGTGAAACCAAATTGCTGTTTCATTGACATGAGCTCTTGCCTGATTAAACTACTTAGGGATAGAAAAGAATGGGTACCTTTCACAGTGTGAGAAAGAAGTATGTAGGCTTGATGGATGTTAATATGGTAGACACGTACTCATCAACATCTGTCTCTGTTGACATAAGCCTGTTTTACTGAAGACTTATAATATGGTGGGGAATTTGAATATCAAGCTTTGGTCTGCTTTTACTACTAGACTGAATAAAGTTCTTCACAGTGTATTTAGATTATGTTGAAAACAGCTAGCAGAATGAGGCAGCGTGGAATAGAGAAATGTAGAAAATTATAAGAGCAGATTGCAACAATGTATRGAAAGCATTGGACTGGTGCCAAAGRGTGCCAGGGCAAAGGCAAATGCAAACGGTTCGCACTGACTGAAAACAAAAATGTGAGAAGAACACTAAAAATGGATTCATCTGTGTAGTTATATAAAACTTCCTATCTGCTGGTGGGAGCAAATTGCTGTGGCCATACCTGATGACCGTGATCTCAGGTTCAAATTCTCTGACTGGAATCAGGTCCTGAAAAGCCTTCATGGCATTGTCCACCTTACTGGTGTAGTATGATTAACCTTCTAGTACAGTGATTATTTCTTTGGCCTCAGCATTGTTACTGTTACTTTATACTTTCTTCTGCATGAACTTGAGAATCACTGCTTTAACCTYACATTAATTCTAGTGTATGGTTCTTTGTCTAAATTTGTCAAGAAGATATTTTGAGAATATTTTGCTATGATCTGAGCAATACCCACCTCAAAGTATGCAGGTCAGTGTCCTGCAGTAGTGTAAACCTTCCTTGTGGRGATAGGAGACAGTAGAGTGTTACTTCAAACATTGTAATGCTCACAGAAGTGAAGGGTCAATTGCAGGGCTTTGTATCAGTGGAAAGGCTTTAAGGTGGTATTCTACATGATGCAGGTAAGCTAAAAGGAGATGTAAATACCATTAGCATTGTCTTCTGGTGATCAGCTTGTGATCTTAAGTTTATTAATTGGGCACTTAGGTAAATAAAAATGAACCAGGKATTCACTGGAAGTGGCAACATCTGGGAGAAATTGACCATGTGTCATCACATAAATAAGAGGAAGAAAAGCACCTCAGTTGCTTTTCTGAAAAAATCTAGATTTTTTTTCTGAAAATCCTAGAAGCCATTGGATTGGACGTAGAGGAGCGGAGCAGGCAAACAATCCCAGTTATGTGAAAAAATAATGACAGTTGCGGTATTGTTCCAGAATCTCAGAACAGGTCAGGCTCTGAATTACCTGATGTACTGCCAGCTACTTTCAGACTTACAGACTTTGTTCTCCAGTCCCATGATCCACACTCGTAGGGMTGTTTACTCCTACCCATGAGCATTGGCTGGTGTGTAATATTTTGAAGAGCTGTAATAGCCAGTCAGGAATGCTTCATTGTTTTTGTTATCCTCTTATGTAAATATATTTGTTTTCTGTGGCCTAGGTGACAAAGAAAGCCTTGCAACTGTTTTACGTTTATCTTAGTAACGTAAGACTAAACAAACAAGTTATTAGCTGTTGGTTGCAAAGTTAAATGAAAACTGATTTTATAAGAATAATATTTAAGTTAATGGGGTGTAAAAGGTGGTACTGATTGACAACTGTAGCCCAGCACCTGAAAAAAAAAGGTAAGAATAATAAATAAATGAATTGCTTATGAGAGGATTTTCTGATTGAATGCTGTATCCCAGCAACTGAGAAAATGTGAGTGCAGTGTCAGTATGACCATTGCATAATATCGTAAGCATTTTACTCTTCTTTTGGTGAAAAATCATTTTACCTTTTTTGCATTATTTTTTGTCCTTCAAAAAGGTGTCCAAAAAGATGTTTGCTTAAAAAGAAATGTTTGTTTTTCCCGTGAAAGGTGTTTGGGTTTGTTTTTTTTTTGTTTGATTGTTTTTGCATTGGGTTTTTTTGGGTTGGTTGGTTTGGGTTTTTTTTTGTTTGTTTTGGTTCTTTGTTTGTTTGTTTTGGAACAGCTACAGGGTACTTCATGTGTAGTTACNAGTTGCTTTTGGGGCTTTTTTTTTATGTGATGGAACAGCTACAGGGTACTTCATGTGTAGTTACCTTTTGTAATAAAAATGAGAATGTCCAGTCATTCTTAATATTGATCTTATTCTTAGTTATGAAAATAAATCTTTCTTTAAAATTCTGCTTAATTTTTTGTTCTTGAGAAAGCATTAATATACTGTATTTTATAGTTTATTACTGCAGTGTTATCTACTGACTTATTTCAAAATGTCAGTTTAAGAGTTCAGTAAAGTAGCAAACTACTTCATCAGATGTATGTTATCCATTTGATGTGTTCAGTGAAAGAAGCAGGAAAAGTGTAGTGTTTACAAAATTTAAAAAAATAAGTCAAGGCTTAAGCTTCAATATTCAAAGTAGTCCTCATAAGAATTCTGATTCTTTATAATAATGTATTTAGAATTAGTTAGGTAACATATTACTACCAGGAGTATTTGAATGGCTGTGATCTTGTTCTTTTCCTTGAGAAGATCTAGGGTTTTGAGTGTAATCTGACAAGAAATCATAGGAATTTGTATATCTTAATGTTTAGGTTTTTAATGAGTTATTACAACCTATTTGCTCATGTTTCCTCAATGAATTGTAAATGAAGGGTAAGTGTTTCGAAGCTGCTTGAAAAAGATGGTTGTTTAGCTCTCAAAAGAAACTAATAGGAGATAATGTCGTTACTTTGGAATCTTTGTATGTACAAAGAAAAAAWTTAGGAAGTCTTGTATCAAATTCTGCTTCCCCCTGCCTTGTTCTCAGACTGGGAACTATGTTTTCTCTGCCTCAAGTCATCCTGTCTGTAATCTTAAGTGTTTTAATTGCACTGGTGTAGATTAGAGTCCATGCCAAGTTGCTTGAGGAGAAACAAATAGCTATAAAGCTACTTGCTAGAGCTCTTTGCATCCTATTTGCATAGTGCTTGTAGAAATGCTGTTTGTTTTGTTTTTTATTTGGCAGGCTGAGTTACGAGCAGCTGTGTTTTTGGCATTAGAAGAACAAGAGAAAGTAGAGGTAAGAGAACCTTAAAAATAATTCAAAAAGRAAAAATATGTTTCATGTAGAATTGAATGTAATAGCTTTAATTCTTCCTATTTGTAACAAGATAAAAGTATGCATTTCTGCTTAAGAGCACGATGCATAAAGACCACAAAACAGGACTATCAAGGTGTTTCCTGATGTTTAAAAATAGGAGTTGTTAAATAGCCTTTTGAAATTATAATTTTAAGTATCTGTCTCTGCTGGGTTTATATGGCTTCTGTCCAATTGACCAGAGTAACAGAAGATTTTCTCCATCAAATACATCTTTTTAAAAAGATACCTAGTTGACTGATCAAGATTTTTATCAAATTGGAATAATATCTTTTGAAATTGAAAATATTATACTGGGATTTTTTGACAAGTGTATTGTGAAAGCAATTTTATGCAGTAAAATGCCAAGTATTCTATTGTTATGGTATTTCCCAAAAGGATGTTGTAGGCTTGCTTCAGGATAATTTGCTTTAGTACTTAAAGATAAATTCTTAGTTAAGAGATGGACTATGTACTGATACTTCGACAATAGATAATATTAAGGGAATGAGATACTATAATAATTGCATAACAGTAGTGCTGTGGTATACAGATACCAGTTTTGTGACTTTCTCTACTGCCAGCTTTTCTTTATTTCCTCTGTCTTATCCATTTCCTAGAACTGGAGAGTAGAGAGTGCTATATGTCCAGCGTCTCAGCTTCAAAAAGAGAGGAGTGTAAAACTGTTCCATTCCTCTACTGGTTAGATGGTTGTGCTTYTTCTGAAAATTGCTTAAACGGACAGTATTGTGATGTTTGTAAGGAGGGGTTGTAGTTTTTCTATGCTATGAGATTCCATATTCCAGAAATTTAACATAAGATAGCTGGAGAAGGCATGATGGAAGAGTGATGGAAGAACAGTGCCATCTCTTTATGGGAAGCTTGAACATATTATGAAGCACTCAGAGAAAGCCTCCCATACTACCCGGAGAGTAATAGCACTGATGTGAGATATGCTACAGTAYATTTCAGCTCACCATTTCTCAAAAAGCTTACATATACCATGGTATTTTAAATTTACACTGCAGACACTGCTGACATGTTAATACTTACCATTACTCTGAATTCCTAAATATTAAGCCAGATAGATTTCCTTTTTTCAGGTAGCACTGTCTTGTGTGTTAGCATTTGCAACTGCAGTGATAAATACCTGTAACTTTTCTTACCCAGATTATGCATTCCATTGTAGGAATAGCTTTTAGAATTTGTTTTGAAAAATTCCAGAACAATTTTGACAAACCCAGACATACCATAGTGATTCCTTTCTGTTTAAAAATTGAAGAGGGCAAATCAAAACAAGGGGGGAAAACGCATTTTTTAGTATCTTTGAACATATTTTAATTAATAGAAGATTAGTATTGATTTGTGCTCCAGTAATTTGTGCACCAGAACTAGCATGGTTCACACTTCATCTAAAAGGTTTGTAAACTTGCATTTTTTATAAGGATGGACTGAATTTTCTTAAACAAACTTYGCACTGTATTAGAGCAGCAACTTGGGAAATTAATGGCTTAACTTATCTTTTGAGTTGTTAGRTAAATAAAAATCAGTATGTTTTCAAGAATTTTGATGAATTACTTAAGCTCCAAGCAAACATAATTTGCCTAAATTAAGCTACTGCTATATAGCTTTTACTTGTAGTTGTACAATTAATGCAAGGCTAGATTTTGAAGAAGTGAATTACATGGRCGAGCATCATTATGGAGCAGAGTACACCACAAAAATTGGTTGCTATGGTTTTCAGTTTCTTTTTAGCATGAGGCTTTATTAATTATTGTTTGTTTTTTGCTTTTTGTACAGAACAAAGCACCTCTGGTAAATGAAAGCTTGAAAAGTTTTTTAGGTACAAAAGATGGTAAGTTCTTTGTTTAGTATATACTTCTCAAGATAATAAAAATAGGAGACAGAGGATTAAATCTATGAATCTTATTAACAGTTCAGTCTCCATGATTTTAAGTATGCTTTTGTTCCTTTCATGTGTCCTAATTACTACTCATTCAGAATAGAATTCAATCTATGATTTGTAAAGTTAATACTGCTGAAGCTGTATTTTTAGCTGAGTTGATTAATGCATTGAAATTAGTATTTCATTATGATATGGTTGTGCTAACTCAGAGACATTCTAGACCAATAGAAGCAGTAACTAGTGCAAACTAAAAGTACAGGTACAGGAGTGAATGTAAACATAGGACAAATGTCAGAATAGTGTTTTTAAAACAGATGAATACTTTAAAAATTTCTGTGTAGCATTAATTTTTTGAGTAATCTGTATGCTCTTGCAGTATTACTGGCTGAAATTATTTTGATATGACAGCAGAGTTCGAAATTAGGGAGTTTGTATACAAACTTGCTGTGAGGTGGTAGTTTGCTGAATGGCTAAACTWTGTTTATACTGAAGCCATGTGTGCTGGTGTTAATGTTAAATCTTTGAAGTAAGATTTGTTTCTGTCTGGTGTATCTTTACTCTGCTTATTTTCTTTTTAGGTCGCTTGGTAGCAGGTCTTGTTGCAGAATTTCTACGGTTTTTCAATCTTGATTTTACTTTAGCTGTTTTTCAGCCTGAATCAAGCACAGTAAGATATACTGGTTTTGTTTGTATTCTATGCTCTCTGTTTTAAGTGCAAGGCAATGAATGCAGAAGCGATGGCAGATTTGTTTAAACCACTTACTTGTTTTTATTTTAAGTAAAAWTTTTAAATGTTTTGTCTGTAAAAGGTACCTGCTGTCATAAAAAGCATGTTTTTCAGGAAAGTGGRCAAATTTCAGGATTTTTCTCTGTGAAAATCAATGCTAGATAATAAATTAATTTGGAATCAACAAGCTGATAATTTTTATGAAATCATGTCATAGTATACAAATGCTGCATACCCCTGCAACTTTTCTTTCCACTAACTTTACTATGTCATAATATTAAGTTAGTATTGTTACCTGAAAATTAAAATAAAGTCAGTCACCTACTCTGAGAGAAATGTCAGTGACACAAAATACTTTGTGCAGACATACTTGACAAAAAGTGATTGAATAGAATAATTCAGTTCAGAGCAACCTACAGTGATCATGTGGCCCAATGGATTGCTTTAAGGTTTTAAATACTGAATTAGAGGGTTTTCATTATGTTTGTCCYTTTGTCTCTTTTTATTCATGTAAAGGTTTTAATAATAAGTTTGGGTTTGAAGCAGTTTCATTTCACTGCAGAATTTCGTGTTACATCTCAAATACTTTCTTTTTCTTGAAGTTGGTTTAAATAGTTAATACATTAAAAATCCARTTCTGTCAAATTAATCAGTTAGCTGACTTCTGTTTCTCAGAACTTCATGTTTCTTTTTAGAAGCTTAATCTAAGAAGATCCCATACACCTTTTGTTATTTGTCAAATATCCTTAGCTAAATTATTTAATTTATTAAATTAATAATTAATAAAATTAATTCCTAATTATTGCTAGAATACATCTGTACAAAGATTCATGGTCATGCTACCAAATAGAAACAAAAAAAAGCCAGTCACGCTTTGTGTTGTTGCCACTCATCCTTGGAAGCAGTGCTTAATTCGCATTGTAAAGGCATCTTATGCTTTTTGAAACACCCCCGTCTGTTTTCCAATAAACGTGTCCATTTCACCTATTGCAGTCCATAAAGGAAATTTGGCTAAAGTTAAGTAAGCTGACCAAGCCTGCTGTGTACGTGTTGAGTAGTTAGGTAAATAAAAGCAGTATGTTATTAAGAATGTTAGTGAAATTTGCTGAGAGTTTGATTTTGCCTTTCTCTACTAGCCCTGCCTCTGARCAGTTTGTTGTGTTGTCTCTTTATCCACCGTTTCAATGTGCTTGACTAGTGGTGGCTCACTTCAGTGTTTGCTTGACCAGCATTCTGATAGGAAGTGTGACTAAATAATAGTAAGAGATCAAGGTAAACTGGTGCTCTTTCAGTGTTGCTRTCTGGGATTGTGCTAACAAACATGGGTTTGCTGCAGCATTCTGCTTTTCCTCTCGTGTGAAATTCAGTTTGAAGAAGCCTTGTTGGGGGTGTCCTAGTTTTACTCGGTCCAATTTTTGTGGTGCGGAGATGGGACCAAGAAACCACAAAGATGTCTCCTGTCAGGAAGTTCTAGAAGCTTTCTCCTTCTTCTCCAGCAAAAGGAGCCCTACCCCAACAATAGGGTTTTAGAACCAATTCATTGTGGCTCTGAGATTGATGGACAGGCTGCTGGTCAGGCCTGGGCCAATTGCACATGCTAGGTACACCTCTGTGATGACGTATGATCTTGTACTTAAGAAGAATTCAAAACAAGATAGAGTGGGGCCGCCATTTAGTTTTTTAGTTAGTATTTCGTTTTAGTATTATGCACTGGGGAAAAACAGCAGGAGGGTGAGGAGATGTAAGCAAAAACRGTGACCCAAGATCACAGTAAGCAGAAGACAGGTGCTGTGCCATTGCTGTGGTGCTCGAACATGGAGAAAACAAGCYGTTCTCAAAAGGACTATTTCTTCAATGGAAGACCTATATAGAAAGAAAGAGAAAYCTTGCTCTGAGAAAAAACCTGGTCTTTGACTGAGCAGAAGCCAAAAAGGGAGAAGAGTCTTGGYCCCTTCACGTCTGAAGCAAGTTGACGCTTGGAAGAARTTGTGTTCTGCAGGGGGAAGAGGTGCTCCCCCGCCCCACATMTGAAGCAAGTGTATGCTTAGAAGATACTGTGTTCTGCCAGGAGATTTGTGATAGTGGCCTTACGCCGCCAAAATCATGCAGTCAGCCCTGGGGAACTGTTTTTCCTTTCTCCCACAAGGTAAAGAAAAGAAACCCATGCCATCAGSAGTTATACACTGACTGTTTCTTGAGAAAAGAGCTTCCACAGCTTGGAGCTGTAAGAATGCTTCTCCTGTGTTGCTGGATGATAACCGTAATGAGTAGTTTGATCTGTTAAACTTTCATCCCTGCCCCCTTTGCATGTGGGAAGGCATGGGGGATGGAGAGGGACAAATTGGAAGAGAGACAGGTTCCCAGAAAGAATAACAGGTGTCTTAAAATGTCCRTTTTTATTTTCTTCTCCTTGTAAATTTTCCCCTATCTTTGTTCCCCTCCCCGGTGCGGTAGTGTTTTAGTAATTTTTAGTAATAAATCTGTTTTGCAACTTAAGTTATTTCAGCCTGACCATTTTCTGGAGCATATACATATCTTTCTCTCAATTATGTTGTCTTATCTGAAAGCCATAAATTTTAGTGTTAATTGGGCTTTTGCTCTCCCTTCTGCCTCTCCAGGTGGGGGGGGGGGAAGGATATCGTTGGATGCTTTTGGCTTTCGGCCCAGTTCAAACCACGACAGGGGGCACTATTTTGGGTTTTTTTTTGGCTGATAAGGAATTGCATTCATCCCTTTTTTTTTGTCCAGACCCATGGGGTTTTTTATGTGAAACAGAGACTAAAAATAAGCATTGACCTGTGCAGATTAATTCCTTGGAACTGCTGTTTGGGTGTTCTTAGATCTTTAGATCTGCTTTTAAATGTGATAGGCTAAAGTAACTTGATCATATAAATTCTTAAATCCCAAAACATGCTAATGATGGCTTCTTGTGTGTTTAAAACAACTCTGCATGATCTGCGACAAGTTCAGGTACAGATCAGAAGTAAATTATGCAATTGGTGGTATCTAAAAGATGTGTAGATGTGGCACCTAGGGATATGGTGTAGTGGTGGACTTGATAATCTCAAGGGTCTTTTCCAACCTAAGTGATTCTATAATTTTATTGCTTTAGTCCACAGGAAGTCCAACAAGAAATAATCAGTTTAGTCAAAATAGAGCTGTATTAAATAGTACTTTTTTTCTATTTCCAAACGTGTGTTTTGTTTTCTGACAGTTATTGCTATGTTGTGATTCTTTTTTTCTGTTGTCCCCCAGCTAAATGGCCTTGATGGTCGAGAAAACTTAGCTCGAGATTTGGGAATTACAGAAGCAGAAGGTACTGTGGGTGCTCCCCTGTTGTTGGAGGTTGTTAGGAAGTGTCAGCAGAAAAAGATTTCAGGTGGTGGAGAAGTAAGTAATATTAACTTGTAATTTCTTTCTATGTAATTCTTTATTCATTTTTTTAAATGATGAAAAATAAWCTGGAATTACAAACACTTGGCTATTGTATTATTATACTGTTTCAGGTCTTTATTATATTATGCCTTCAACTTACCAGAGAGATAAGAGATAAACTTTGTGGCTATTGTATTTAGTGCCACTCTAGGGCTCTGTATTAATATTCTGCTACAGCATAGTAGCACACAGGAAATCTAGATAAATATCACAAAACACTGTATCCCTTATTTTCTAGTTTCTGGTGTGGTTTGGTAACACTTTTATCTATACCTGTTTTCCTTGGCATACTTCTAACTTTAATATGATCTGAAAAGCCTTAAATGAGTTTTGTCAAAAGCTTTAAAGCTCTTCTGAAAACATATGTACTTAAATATATCAAAGTATTGAACTACTTGAAGGCAATGACAATAGTATTTGAATGGAATAGATAATTAATATGTTAATTAACTGGATTAAACCCAGCCAATAGCATTTGATTTTGACTTGAAAGAAGGTTCTCTACACCCAGGATGCATTCAGTGTCCCCAAAGAAAGCTTAAATTCAGAAGTAGTTATCATAGACTTCTTAACATAGCAATTTTCAGTCTCATAAAAAGGGGCTTTCCTTAAGCCTTTAGTGTTTGATCAGTCTGTGAATGCCCCAAGACCCTTGTTCCTGGTTAGTCTGTTGGTGTCCTCTTATGGGGACTCAAGTGAACAGTCCACTGTGTTGGAGAGCATAAAACTGTCTTGTTCAGGGACTTGTGCCAGTAGTTTATTGGAGTCGAATTCTTTAGTACAATTTAGAAAGGGAGAGCACTTCCTGGATCTCCTCAGTTTTAGCTGAGTATGTTCTCTACTGCTGACAGCTGATAGTGTCCAGGAAGTACTTGGACTAAACAGTTTAGAGAGTAACACACTTGATTAATAATCACACTGATAAGAGAAAATTGTTATAGGCTGAGGCTTGAAGATCTTTAGTGATAATAACAGACTGCAAAAATGTATTTAAAGCAATATACAGACAAGCTCTAACGACCAACAAAAGCTAGCACAAGTTAGTCACTCAGYGTGCATCCAATATGGTCCTTACCAAAAAGGCATCCCAACTGGGGTGAAGACAGATTCAGGTCATCATCTGATCCCAGAAGTTATGATGGAATCTTTCATAACTCCTCCCCATTCTTAACTTTTATACTATTCCTTTACATTTAGTTGGAGCTTGAATGACTGTAGTCATGCACACGTTTGTTAATGAGTGGTGTAAAATTCTCTAGCTTCACTCTTAAAGATATGGTCAGCAAAATGTAGAGTGCATGCTCAGTGAGGGGTGGGTGTACCTTGGAGGTGGGTGACTTTGGGATGAACGTGTGTGTTGCTTCATTATAATCTAATTGTAATACTGCGTTCATCCAAGTAGAGTGAATTTGCCATGGTTGCTGCAGATTCACAGCAACAAGACAACATCTCCATCTGCCTTGGCGGAGAGCTACTGTGTGGTTTATGTRGTACCATCAAGTTGTCATCCTTGTCAGGGTTACAGCAGAGCCTGGCTGCAGTGTCTTCACTCTTCTCCATCCTCTGTTTCATCCCTCTTAACGTGTGCTTAGGGATGCCGGCTGCCTGGTGTGTGGAATCATCATTGAATGTATTTCGTGCATGCCAACCACATTCCATTCAGGAAGTAGCAGCTGCATTTCATCCTGTAATTTCCATACTGTGTGTGACTATAACTTACCGGTTTTCTCTCTACCCCCAGTTGTCTTCCTGCACATGGTGTCAAGGTTTGCATATTGTGCAAGTGAGGATGGTGGCCTTATTTCTTGTTGGATGCAATTATTGTAGAATCAGAGAATCATTGAGGTTGAAAGAGACCTTTAAGATCATCTAGTCCAAGCGTTGGCATAGCACTGTCACTGAAACCCCTAAACCACATTACCCAGCAGCAGATCCAGATGCTTCTTGAATACCTTCAGGGTTGGTGACTCCAACACTCCTCTGGGCAACATATTCCGATGCCTAACCACCATAACAGTGAAACATTTGTTCTCCCTAATATCTAATTTGAATTTCCCCTGTCTCATGTTAAGGCTTTTTCCTCTAGACCTCCTACTGTTGGCATCGTAGAAGAGACTGGACACCACCTCACTACAACCCCCCTGAGCCTCCTGTTGTTTAGACCAGCTCCCTCAACCGTTCCTCTTAGGACATGATTTCTAGCTCCTTCATGACCCTTATTGCCCTTCTCTGGACCTCAATGTCCTTTCTAATGTGAGGGGCCCAAAACTGAATGCAGGAGTTGAGATATGGCCTTGCTAGTGCTCATTATGACAAAATTAAATATGTATTTTAGTAAGTGCTTATTTGAAATTTCTTAGGTGGCTCCAGTTCTAAGTGACAGCCAGTGCCCCACATCAAAATCATCTGATGGAAGGTCAAGTGCACACTCTCTACCAAATAAGGTAAGATTATATATAATGAAAAGCTTGGTAACATTCATGAGATGAATAAAAGAGAGAACTCCTATGAAACTGCAGGTATGACAGCATTCACTTAAACAATCTGCAATTTGAAAGTATTGTGTCACTTCAGCAAAACTTTCATATATGATTTCCAGCTAAGACAAACTGTTGTGCTTGTACTTTTCTGGGATGACATAGTAGCAGTTTGTTCCCTCAGGGCACAGAACAGAAAAGTAGCTGTAGCTTCCTTTTTATTCCAGTCAGGCTATCGTTAAGTTCTTAATTTTCAAAAACAATTCTGTTCCTCTAGGATAGGAAATAAAAATATTTTTACTACTGCCATTTATGGATTTAAGTAGCTTTTCCTGCCCTAGAAAAACTGAGCTGCTGCCAGCAATTGAATGTGATTCTGTGACAGATAAGCTAGCCTTGGTATGAAAAAGACCTGCCAAGGTAATTTTAACTTTCATGGCCTTTACTTTGAAGATTTTGCTTCAACTTTCTGAATGAAAGTTAATATCTGATAAAAAAATACCTGGGACAGAACAACATACATATATATTGGCTATCTAGATTAAATTTTAGTTTTATATCAAAACTGTGCTGGTATTCGTTTGTAGAAAGGAAACTAATGTAATAAATCTTTTACTTCTTCCTTTCAACAAGTCTAGGAGAAAATAAAAATAGCAGTAAACATTGTTAGGTAATAGTATGGAAAATACTTTTCTTTCACAGCAGCTTGATTATCTAGATAAATTAGACTATTGTTCATTAGGCCACAAAGCCATGTTAAGTGACTAGCTTGAGTTGTATGACTTGATGTTCAAGGTAGAAAATGGAATTGTCCTTACATTCTAGACTGTAAGTCTGGGCCATAACTATCAGAAAACAACTGAAAGTGATGTACTTTTAAAGTGTCACTTTTACCATTTTTGCTTTTAGTATTTGAAGAGAGAATGTGTCAGGAACTTCACTTTTCTTATACTATTACTTTACAGCCTGACCTTATATTGCAGAGGTTACCGTTTAATGGGGAAGTTAGAGTAATTTGCATGGATTTAAAATTATTCCACTTGAAGACAGTGGAACTTTCTTACTTTTAAATAAGAACCTTTATTTGTAGACGTGTTGCAAAATAACATAAATAAAGCATAAGAATCAGTCTGTCTGTAGATTTCTTTTATATTATTTTTAAAATGGTTTGCTTTTATAATAGAAGTGATGTAGGTAGCATAGCAATACACAGGATGGAACAAGATTGTAATGACAGCAACAATAAAGCAACGTTTTCCTGGTGTGATTCTTATAATGAGCTCACTAGTATTTCTCAGGAATTTGAGGTAATATTTTAAAAAGTGATGCTAGGTGTATATTATGTGTTGTACATTTATATATACACTTAGAATATTATAGGACATGAAAACTTCTTTCATTCTTTCAGGCTGCTGAAAACACTCAGAGTGACACAAGCATCTCATCAAGGGAAACGAGCAAAAGAAGTATTAATTTTCTGCCTAATGAAACAAAACTAGATTCTCAACTAGAAAACAAAGATTTGAATACCAAAGAAAAAAGAGATCCAGTTGTGGATGAAGATGATGCAGAAGGAGATTCTTTCTTTGATGACCCTATACCCAAACCAGAAAGAACTTATGGCTGGTAGGTAACATGGATGTTCTACTTGATACATGGTTTATTATGTCCTCTGGATGCTTGCAGACTTTTGAGAGCTAGTTGTTAGTTGATTGTTTGTATCTGTACTTGTTTAGATCTGTAATATTTTATTTCCAAACTACTAGTTTTTCTGATTCTGTTGTATTGTATTGTTCTATTTTATGTACAGTGTCCTGTGGGATCTCTTGGATGTACTATGAGTGGAAAAACTTGTACCACTTTAAGGTGCATCAGTGAGGGTATCCAATGTCCCCAGCCTGTTTCTTTGATGGAATGAACATGTATGAGGCACAGACATCAGTATTTCTTCTTGCAACAGAGCTGCAGTGGTGATCTGTAGTAAAGGAAGTGGACAGTGACAGAGATAGCGCATTAAATATCTGTATGGCTTTGGAGGGAATACAAAAAGTACTCTAAACTGGCTCCATACACTGTAAGAATGAGGGAAGTTTTCTTACAGCTGAGGGTTTCCTCTTCACATTGCAACACCTTTCATGTGCAGGTCTGTGTTTTCAGTGAAGTGTTGTTATTTTTGCATATGCCAATTTTGCAGATGCATCCAAAGCACGCCTTTTATTTTTCATTTGTGAAGTCTGGAAGATGCCATTTGAAGCAAGAACTAGTGACTGAACTATTCAGCAGCTTTATTATAAAGCTGAAAAACCTATCTTTGTGTAATCATGCTGAGTTATCTGGAAGCTTAGCCTAGACTGAGAATGCTGCAGTATCGTTTCATGATGTTCTTTTGCTGTGCTCAAGTAATCAGAGAATTGTTCCAGCTTAGCAGACATTAAGAAGATGTTGCAGAATCATTTGTAAGTCAGTTTGGCTGTTGGCCTTTCTCCCCAGCTACACTGATAGTGGGCAGAGCAACATGAGCTTTTTTGTAGTACTGCCACAGTAGATGCTTACTTTTAGAACAGGATCCTTCTGGTGGAGCACAAAGTAATAATGCCAGGTAAACTGGTCTCTTTCCAGTAAATGACTGGACTCTTTGCAGAAGATTATAATACAGCATTTGTTGAATGATTTTGGTTGGAGTAGACTTTTTTTCCTCAAAGAGCAGTGGTTGTACTCTGGAAAATTCTTTGTTGCAAATGACCCTGCTATGATATTTCTTTCTCTTTTGCTAATTGTTTATTTCAAGATTAAAACTGCATCTGAATGCATTTAGTCCTCCTTACTTAAGGCCCATTTAACTATCGTTTAACCATAGTAATCGTTGTAGCAGGTGGTCTAAATGGTAAGTTGGGGAAATGAGAAAAGTCTGGAAAAACTTCTAATAAGAGAATTTTAAAATTAGAATTATTTTATCTAGAATATTTTTAAAATAATATTATTTACTAATTTCTTATTGTTTGAGCATTTTCATATGACAAGAAGGGAAATTCAGTTGTAACTGGGTAGACTGGATTTCTTTTAAAAAACCATCCAAGAAGGTCTTTCTTCATCTGAGAATCTAAAAGACCATCTTTAAAAGATCATCTTTAATTATTTAGTAATTTAGTAAAGTAAGGATTTTTTTCCCAGTAGAGAAACTCCCTACAGAAGAGATTTTCTGAATTATGTGTCTGTAGTAGAGTCACAGACCACCAAGTAGTGATTTGTAGCACATAATATTGTTGTGATGCACGTAGTTGATTAATATCCCATAATAGTGTTTGCTGAATATATTGTCAACCAATGAGCTAGAATCTATTTGTAGATGAGCTGTGTCTGCTGAATTGTTCATTTCTACCTTCCTGACAACTCCACTAGAGGACAAAAGCCCCCCATATTTTTCAGGTGAAATCCCTTTGTCATACATTGTAMGGGGGTAAGTAAGTAGAAGAGTTGTCAGCATTGCTTGCATTGCAGAAAGGTAATTCACCTTTGCAAAAAGGTAATTTTCCTTCCTGGAAGTCTTTCCCATTCCTTTAAGATGGGTTCCCTGGAAAGGAAAGGAGCAAGCAGTTGCTGATGAGAGTGTGAGAGATGATCCAGGCACTCATTATCTCTAGGTCTCTGACCCCTTGTTCAGAACTTTGAAGCATTTTAATGTGTGATGTTACACATGATATTTTGATGATCTAGATATAATGAATGATTCAAATGTTGTCCATTATTAATAGGAATGGAATCAAAATAGCAAGCAGTTCTGGCAATACTTAATCTTGGTGAAAATCTTGGTCCCTTTTAATTTGTGTTTCTTCATCCTTTACTTGCAAGTAGGATTTGAACTAGATAGTAGCCAAATGAACTTTAACATGTGGTGATATCTATCTTCCCCCCAACTGAGTTGTTTTCATTCTGTGAACTGACTGTTCTTAGAAGTAATAGCTTCATAAGACATGATCTACTTAACATGTAAAATAAACTGAAGTACTGATTTATATCTGAATCTTTGTTCTTTTGGCTGGATTTACATGTGGGGATGATGAAAGGTCCCTTGACATAAATAGGGATGCTGATGAAGGTGCTCTGTCTGTGAGAGAAGACAGACGGAAGTATTTGCATGGGTGAGAAAGTGACTTCCTCAGTGAATGTTGTACTTAAATCTTGTGCCAGTGAACTGCCTATTGCTTTTAAGGTTGCAGAATAAGTAGTCCTTTTCCTTTGCTCTTTTTTGCTGTAATATTGCTATTCTAGTGTTGTGACAATTCAATAACAGAAAAAAAAAGTAACTATGCATATTTTACAGCTCTGTGGAGTAYTTATTTGGTTTGTTGCAGGAAAACCGAAGCCAATAAAGTAGGAGGTCTAGCATCCCTTTCTGATGCGCCACCTCTAAAAAGTGGATTAAGCTCCCTGACTGGTGCACCTTTGCTAAAGGAGTCTGATGGTAAGTTTTCATGTATGTTTGCGTTTTGATGATTGTGAAAGGTATTTCCTGTAATGATTGCGCTACACATTCAGAAGAAAAAGTGACAGAGTATGGGGCCCCCTTCTGACTGTAATGTGCTTTACAATAGTGCTGTCTTTCTGAGTGGTGGCATATTGGTTTGGATATATTGTGCTACAACTGGGGCATGTTATGCTTTGGGGTATGAAACACTTACTACCTCCCTTTTTTGTTTTCATATAAAGTAGTTTTTTGTTTTCATATAAAGTAGTTTTTGTTTTCATATAAAGTAGTTATATGGTCATATGGTTGGCTGGTATGTCTAAGTGTGATCTTGAAGAGTCACAAGTCCAATTTCTGATATTAGTGCTTTTGTTTACAGATTTGGACAGAAACTCTGTTTTGAAAGACCTGCGGTTGGTGAATGCAAAGCTGGGATCACTGGAATTAGGCAAGTAACTGCTAAACATGAGGAAGCTCTGATATTTTTGGTTGGCTAGAACTGATAAATTCTGGCCCAGCTTCTTAGAGGAGTCTGAGAAACTTAAATACATGTTTTGAACTAAAATCTTCAGCTTTTACTTTTGTCATTCTATGGAACATAGATTGTGAAGCTTAATGTGGTTAAGAGCAAGCTGTGATCTAAAGTGTGTCGTGTGGATGAATATTTTACATATGGAGCAAAAATTTGATTCATTCTTTGCATGCATTTACAAATATTAAGGGATGAATTTTGTTGTTGAGTTTTCTACAAAAAGAGAAGGTTTTATTTTTAGTATGAGAAGTCTGATAAATTTTACTGCTTTTCAGTGGCATATTTATTTGCCCTCCACACCTTTCGAAGTTGCCTTGCTCTTGGTGCAGTATAATGGAAGGTTTGATAGAAGCATTCTCTCAGAATAGAGCTTCCAAGTATTTAGGTTTTATATTCAGCAGTACAGCTGACATCCTGAAAACACATGTTCAGTTTTGAAACAGTTTGTGTTAATAATATTGAGATTAATTAATGACAAGCATAATTTTTCCTTCTAATCTACTTTAGTCTTTTATTCTACTCCCACTTTTTGCTGGTCATTAAACCATGTATTTTGGTGCAGGAATAGATCCTCTTTTTGTGTTTCCTGAAGAGAAAACTTGTTTGATTAATAGTTTTTAAATCTTATTAAGGAAATGGAGATGATGATGAATATGCTGATGACTTCAACAGGTAAGAGAAGGATAATACCTCAGTAAGACAGTGAATCTCTGACACATTGTGAAATAATTCAAATATCCTAGTGGATATGCCTATAATGCATAAAATACTATCACTGGAATCTGTCAGAATTTCTAAACTCCTTTAAACTTCAGTTTGCTATTTTAACAGATTTAGTTAAAAGTTAAAAAAAAACCCCACACAGCCAAACCAGATCCTTTTATGTAGGGAGTTCCTTAAAAACCTACTGCTAACTTTTAAGATGATCCTATGTTGGGTTGTTTTGTGGAAGGGGTTTGAGATTTGGGGTTTTTTTTCCCATGAACCTTGCACTTAATAATGTTTTAACAATTTATGCAATTTGTCAATAATTATGTTTTATATTGAGACATTCAACTGGAAAATAAAGCATAATGAGTAGTCAGTAATTAATATTTAACAACCTCATGATTATGATGTGAAGGTACTGGTGTTGTAAACTGCATGATTGAGGCCTAAGTATTTCTCAGTGTTTATTATGGCTTCATCTATGTAGAAAGCCTTTAGTTGTTATGGGATTTTAAGTAACTATATCTAACTTGCTAGGAAGTGAAATTCCAATCAAATGTCAGTTGTGAAGTAAATGTCATACCTAGATGTTTGATAAGGAAGTCTTATTTCTTTGCTTATGGTTTTCTTTCTCTTTAGTACAAGTCATCGCTCAGAAAAAAGTGATATCAGTATCGGTGAAGAAATAGATGAAATTTCTGTGGGAACGGAAGAGTCAAATGTCAGTGACAAAGTATGAATATTTTAAAATTTTTGTTCTTTGTATTCTTTTAATCTTGACTTTGTTTTCAACCTTCTGTGAAGTAATGTGCTGTTATCCTAAGTTCCTGGGTTGTATGTTAAGGTTGTATTATTTGTTACATTCTGTTTTTTACACCTAGTATTCTTGCTAAGTTATATACTGATTTAAAAAAACCCAACGAAACAAAAATCCTACAGCAGCTTTTCGGTAGCACAATTCACTGTGCCTTTCTCAGTGTGTRGTGTAAAATGTATTTGAGGCTGGTTCAGTGCCTAGCCTATAAAGGTTTTCCCCAGTATTTCAAGATCTGAGTACCTCCTAAAGAATTGTGTAATCTCACTAAAAGAGCTTGAGGGCAAAAGGTGTATAATAGCATATGAAGGAATACATGACGTAATACTTACTGGTTTTGTGATTTCTGAGTTTGCAATTTTATTTGTTTTCTAGCTCGAAAGCATCACGCAAGACCTTACCATTTCTCAGTTTAGTGATGTTGCAGATTATCTAGAAGATGTGGCATAGAATTGGAGAGCAACAATATTTCATTGTGCTGGCCTTGAAGACTTCTGCGGACTATTAATTTCAGACAATCATCTTTTGCTGAAATGTCCACTCCCTATTTGTGCCTTGTGTTTCAAAAAGACTATAGGTGAAGAAGGCTTTTAAATAGCCTTAACAAGAACTAAATGGAGCGGTGCATTCCCATTTGAGTCTGATATTAGAATTACTTTCTTCATTTGGTTCTGCCAATCCTTTCACGGCAGGAGGTGGATTTTCCAAGCAGAATGTCCATTGCTGGCAGTGGACATAATAAAAACCAACTGATAAGAGAAAATCGAGAGAGAGGCATGTGGCTTTATAGTGAACTTGCACTGTTATTTTAACAGTCAGATTTTGGGTTTTTTTTAAAGATAACCAAAGCAAGAACCTTCAAAGGTAGTGGTTCAACTCACATTTCTTTGAACACAATCTTGTCAAGTCAGCATGTAGTATATATTTATGGTAACTCTAGCCACGATACCTGATTATTCCAGACTTACTTGAAATTGCTGTTTTGGAGACTCTGCTGAAAGTTGGACTTTACGTTTTTTAAAGGCATATTAAATTGAATTAAACTCTTTAATCTAAATTTAGCTCTATTTAGGAGCTAAATTTAGCACCAGTCTTAAATCAGAATATTCTTGTTTAAATATGTTTGTCAGACCATTGATRTTAAGACCTAAGCTGTTTTTATATATGATAATTTCATCAATGTTTGCTGTTGTTAAATCGTGAAAAGTAATTTTGTAAAGATTCGCAAATCGGTAACTAAATCTTATGGGGTTGTATTAAGTTTTTAACAGTGTGTAATGCTTAGTGGAGCTTTTATTATTAAGGGCTCTTCTCAGTTGTAAGATCACTTTCATTCTTGAAAATATTTTAAGTAAAAATGAGTACCAAAAAGTGAAACTTCTAACCTGCTTTTCAGATTCTGACTGCTGTACAAAGTTAAATGCAAATATTTAAAAATACCATTCTGAAGACATTATGGACACTAAGTTCTAGCTAAGAGCAAATGTATTTTCATGATACTCTTGCAGAACAGGGTCAGTCATAGAAACATTGATAGTTCTTTAACGATACCATTATTGGTATTGCAAGTGGCGCTGCTATAATGTATAGGTCATGGACATTTGTAATACTGAAACAAGACTTCAAAATGTGCACTTTCTGAACATTGTGAACACATCTGGAAAATAGACATGTAAGCGAATAGAAATAATTTAATTTTACCTTTTCTTCTCTTTTTAGGCTTTGTAATTTTCTTTTTCAGGAACACTGTTGGCCTGTCATCAGTAGTCGCCTCCAGTGGAAGTAGCATGCTAAACTAAAGACATTGGTTAAGCAGGKAATACTGCTACTAGCACTGGAAGTTGACGTAATTATTTTTTTTCTCTGGGCCAGCAGGCCTGGAGCAGTGCTAGGAAGTTAGGCTTGTACATTACATAAATGATCTGAGAGGAGATAGAAAAAGTGTGCCTTTTATTTATGTTCACCCCAAAAATAGCCAGCAAAAAAGTGTCAGAGTATTTAGTCATGGTATTAACTATTAACTTTATGCCATATTGTAGCAGCGGAACATGGAGGAGAAATTTTTTCACCCCAAAAAGTCAATGTGCCATAACTTCGAATAGAAACAATGTTGTAACACACGACATAACCTGTTAAAAATACATTTAAAGATGGGGGAACCTGTGCCTCAAGATACTGTGTATGAAACTCTTGGACTGGACATTTTTTTCCCCTTTCTTTTTCCTTATTTTTTTCTTAAGAAGAGCACCAGCATGTCTGAATGAAATAAAATTCCACATGAACAATTGTTTTATGGCATTCATTTTTAAGGTGTATGGAATAATGCAGAGACAGTATTGTTTGCTTTTTTACATGCCTTGGGAAAACATGATGTTGCATTAACTGTTAGCTGTAGGATATGTGGCAATTTATCAAAAGACACCAGAAGTTTATTAAAATATTTCTAATTGCATTTGAAGATGTGGCCTTTTCAATAACTGATTASTATTTTAAGCTTTAGCATGACTTGTGTTAACAGCAAGTATTGGGAGTTAATTGGAGCTCTTGCACTTTGGCTCTAATTGAMGGAAATACCAAAAAGTGGTAAGTCTCCATACTGTTCCTCCTGCTTTTACTTAATTGTAAATAATAATTCAAATTGTAAAATAAAGCTGTTATGCTGGCTGAATTGTGTTTTGAAACTTGTTGAACCAGAAATCTTGACATTTAGATAAATTAAACGCTGTGGGATTTGAGGGGTTTCATAAAGAGTGCCTTTTTTTTATAGTCCAGTCTGCAATTGAGAATTCCTTCAAACCCAAAGGCTCTTGCAATTCCTGATGATGAATCTGATTAAGACTTGACTGAATTACATCAGTGGGATCAGGCCAAGTTGTCATATGGTCTGTGATTCAACAGGCAAAAAACCAATCCTGACTGGCAAAATTTTGTGTTGTTTAGCACTGTTAGAGGTATTTAATCATGAATGACAGGTTAAGCTTTTTTGAATGCTGTTTCACTGTATATTTCAAACTATTGTTTAGTATTTCACCTTAGGCTTCTCCCTGAAGGACCAATGAAGGACCAAATTGAGTATCCCAACTCAGATACATTAGAATTGAAAACCAGAGCCCTGTCATAAAAGAAGGGAACATTTCTGTGCGCAGAGAAGCAAGTGTCTGAGATGGGCATTGATGACTGCTCTGTGCAGTTCTGTATCAACTAGGTCTGGTTAGAAATACTCTTATTTTTCTTAAACACTCTCTAATTTCTTTAACTAATCCTGTGATTTTTCAGAAGTAGAAATTTAAGGTTAAGACTATGGCTGACAGTTTCATAGCATTAATATGGTTCTTATAATAAGGATGGGTTATAAAAATTAGAGCTGTCTTTTTTTTTTAGTGAAGTTAATACATTTCACCTCAGTTTTTTTTAAGTAGGAAAACACAGCACATCTGATAAAATATTTGCTTGTAAGTGATGCTTTCCCCAGATACAATAAAATTGCTATCAGCTTTGTTTTGACAATATATAGATGCTACACCTAGCTCTTGAGAGAACTGAAACACTTGATGATTAGGTGATGATTTTAAAGAGGAGGTTTACTACTTTGTTGKTTTTTTTTAGTATAGTAATTTTCACTAATTAAATAGTATCAAGAAAGACCAGCCTTCTCTTCAGGAAAAAAAAGTGCATCCATGGGTATTTGTAGATAAAAAGCTAACAAACTTCTAGTTTTAGTGTTGTGTAGGCAGCAGGAATTAAATCTTGTCAAGATGACTGCAGTACTTTGTGGTGCCAGGTGCATCTCTTTTGGCAGGTACTTTGGTTTGATGTTTTCCTTGTAAGGCAGAGCCAAGAGAAATTGAACTGTATTACAGGAGGTAGATTTGTAACTGATTTCTTTCATACTGAAGCTAAATCCTCTACAAATGCCAAAATCTCCCAAAGCATCTCTGTAGCCAAATTGCAGACTGGCTGGATAAAAAGCAGCTTTGCAGAAAAGGGCCTGGGGGCAGCTGTGAAGAGGGAAAGCGTGGAAGTGTGTGTCTTTGTGGAGGCTGAGGGAAGGGGTTATTTCCTCCCTGTTCCCTTCCTTGTGAGATCAGTGTCTGGAATATTGTGCTCAGCTTGGCTCTGCCAKTACAAGAGCTGCCAACAGAGCCTGGTAGAGGGGCTTAGAGGATGGTGATGGGGCTGGAATATGTGATCTGTGTTGAACTGGGACTGTTCTGCATGTGAAAAAGAAGGTAAAGGTGAGCAGCTAATCTGAACTTCTGTGCTTACAGGAGACCATATGGAAAACAGACCTGTACTCTTCCTGGAGGTGCCCAGCAAAAAGACAACAGTCAAACTGCAGAGAGAAATTCCAGTTGCATGCATGAAATACGATCTAAAGAATCACCATGAAAATGGTCCAGCACTTAGAGCAGATACCCAGAGAGATTGTGAAGTCTCCATCACTGGAAATTTTCAAAAATCAACAGACTCAGAGCCAGCTGATCCAGCTTTCAAGTTAGGTCTGCTTTGAGTAGTAGCCTGGACCACCACCAAGGCCTTTCAACCTAAATCATTCCATGATTCTCTCAAAGCACACCTCTGTATGGAAAACCTGTTTTTATGGGGATAGACAGACTCTACCTGGCTGCCTCTGTGTACAAACTACCCTTTTGGCAGGCAGAAGTAGTTTTGCTACAATTTATCAACGCAGGTGTTTATGTATGTGCAGACTAYCCCATGGAGAAAGGTCAACATTTGCAAATACAGTCAGGTAACATTTACTCTTCTTTAGGGTTTCAAATCTTATGTCCTTAAAGGAATCTCTTAGAAAATGTGGACTTAGAACATAATTGAATAGTGTGCTGTGTGAATAACTGCAGCTGGTCTTTACACTTGGATGTAAGTTTAAAAACAAGATGTAAGGTTTCTAAAAGTTGTTTTTCAGTTTTACAACAGCTTCAAGTGTTTTGTTTTAAAAGTTCTATGCTATGGGGAAACCACAACAGGTACATGGTAGTAAAATCAGGTCATTCRCACCTTCATAGCAAGAAACTGCTTCAGCKTTTTTTTCCCTGAAAAGGTTTCCACCTTGTGCTGACAACGGATCTGGTTTGGCTGACAGGTGTCCTTCAGGGCATGCTGCGAGGGGAACTGTTGAGAAAAGGCTTTTGTGTGGCAGAGCAATGTTTCCACATACATTTTTGGCTTAGGTGATGGTGACAGACTTCCTTTTAAACTGATAATTCACATTATGTTTCAGTAATGTGATTCTGGTGAGAATATATATAGCTGTGAGCTGATGGTGGGATGTTGGAGAAGACTATCTGGGGGGTGCATAAGTCCTGTTCTGGGATATTTAGAGCCAGAACTAAAAGGGAAGAAAGGGGATTACGGCGGTTTGGAGGAACAAGCATAGGCAAAGAGAGGGAAAGGGGGCAGTTGTGGGCCAATAGGCTGCTGCTCAGCAGAGTATCTGGCTCTTCCTACCCCTCACAGCTGTCTGCTCTCCCTGAAAATTCRTTCCAGTTCTTTCTAAACATGAATAAAATGCTCAAAACAGTCTAAGTAATTCTGGCTTGTGGATAAATTAAAGATGAATTTAGGCAAAATCTAGAAGCATACATTTCCTTGAAATCAATGTGATATTTGGCTACCTAGAAACGTTCAACGGAGGTTGGGTTTTACAAGATTATTCTGGCAACCTTATAAGAAAAGCACCTTTATGTTGTTAAGTGGCTGATATGCTGACTGATATTTTCTTCATCTCCTTTGAACTGCAAACTAGGAGGTCTGTGCTCTGCTCATTAAAAGGAAACTGATAAAATTGAGAGATAAGTAGTTCAATGCATTCCAAGCAAGATAAGATGAAATTACAAAATATAAGGTCTGGGGCTTAGAGACTAAAGCAATCCTAGAGGTGAAAAYTATGTTCACTTAAACTTCATAGTTCAACACATTTTCATGGGAGAAATAGGAAATTTAAAATAATTCTTTAAGGAATTAATTGTAGATATAAGAAGTAGGCTGTCATTAAGTAGTAATACAGGCACATACACATGTGCCAGTTGTTAATTGTAACTCTGCAAACCTGGTRTTTGTCAGTTACATTCACTCAGTAGACTAAGTTAATTAAACTCTAGTGAAATTTGAAATTAGGCATCTGAATAAAAACTGTTAACAGAATGAGAAAGTTTGAATTTTGAGCAGGTTTTGGCAGTGCAGGGTCACAAATGTGGAGAGGTGCTGATGGTGTCAGAGGAAAATAAGACAAATTCTCAYGGTCTTCTTCCATGAAAGAGAAATTAAAATTAATACTTTCACWAGTTTCTGATTTCAGTAAATATGTGCTAATTTGCTGGTGCTTAATTTGAAGTAAAACAAATGAATGCATTCGGACTGTAGGTCTCATCTGACCTATGAAGCTGGAGTAGGATACACTGGTGTGATGTTAATGCATAGTAGCTCTTCTGCACTGATTCCTTGCATGCATGCCTTTGCATTAAATATCAAACTGTATTGAGATAAACTGCGGAAAAATACAAAGGAACCCAGAGAGGTACAAAAATATATGCATAAATCAGTGCCAAGTACCTCTTTGAAAGAACCCAAGTCAATCCAGTTTGTACAAAGAAAAATAAATCAAGCACATACTCGTGAATTGAGACTAGCCCAAAGAACAATGAAGGTGAGAAGGCAATGGGTGGTAGCAGAGAGTGAGTTATGTGAAATTAATTGACACAGTAAAAGAGCTGGCAGCCTCACAAGGGCCATGGCTTGGTGCAGAAAACTCCTTTGCACTGACAAGGGATGGCTGAGGCTGTGTTCCCTTCCCTGGGGCACAGGGAACATGTAGATATGTTTATGGCAGTGAAGCAGATAACAAAATTGGGCAGTTTAGAGCAGGAAGGTGAATTAATTTGAGTTTAAAAATTTGAAAAATCTGAAGAAATAGCAGCATCATGTTAGAGATTRACTGTGGGGAGCACACTAGTTTTGAACAGGAAATCATAAACAGAAATCCAAAAGGTGTTCCTTAGTTTTGTCTGTCTGTGGTGGCCTGATGTTGTAGGGAATATGCTAGAAAATCCATTTGTTGGGAAAAGATGTAGCAGCTCATGTAGACTACATGATCTCACAACTCTGCCCCACGTTTTTTTGTGTCACAGAGATACCTTATAATGCTGCAGTTCTAGCAGTACAAACCTGCAAAGAGCCTGTGAAACACATGATTTTTTAGCSGGAGTGACTCCCCTCTCCAGTGCTCATGGTGGGAGCAGCAGCCCAGCGCAGTCACCAACACAGCCCCACGCCGCCTGGGGCTCTGGCTCTGCCGAGTAGCTCCAGCTTGAGTGCAATTCACACAGAGGTGCCTGAGGGAGGAGGCTTTTTGTCTCTTTCGATGTCTTTCTTTGCTGAAGAGCAGCATTTAAGGTCTGGTTCAGGCTTAGAGCTACGTGGAAGTGCTGGGTTAGAGAGCCGTGCACCTCATTCAAGACAGTCTACAAAGCTGAAACAAAAATGGGGTCACAAATATAGGCCAATTGCCCATGCATCCCGGAACAGGAAATCTTGCAGAACAGCCTTTTTCATTTGCTYATCTCTCAATGTAGTTAGAATTTTTTTTTAAATTCTAACTGTTTCTTACTGTTGTATAATAATATGATCTGTTTGTCATGAGTAGCAAACTGAACGCCATCCAGTTGTGTGGAATATGACAATGAATAGCATCTTACATTTTCTTGTCAATACTGTTATTTTGCTCAGGTTGCCTGGTTTGTTTTTTTTCTGCGTGGTAGAGCCAAATTCTGCTAATGAATCATTTTATAGGTACTTGATCCTCTCATCCTTGAGGGGTTGGTGAAGGGAATTGACACAAACTTTCAACAGGCAGGAACATAAAAGAGAGCACTCAAACCAAGCAAACTTAATTGCTTGGAGTTTATTTTCTCCTTCCTTGGTTCCAACAGTATAGGAGAGCAGAAGTTGAGCTATGACAAGCTACTCACACATCTAAAGACAGATTCCTTTCATGAGAATGGCTGCCCCTTTCCTGGCTTTTGGTCTTAACCTGAGGGTTTAACCTAAAACCACAGCAATTTGTTGTTTGCTTCCAGCCTGGGGCACACAGTTATTTGAAATGATTGTTAGTGAACTGTGCACTTTATTTTTAGTAAATATGATATTTAATAGAATTTAAGGCTCCATCTCAAGATGTGGCAGTGCAGAAAATCTCATGTGATATAAAACTTGCCAACACTTTGGGGARAACAGAAATTTTGAGGTAGTGCCCATCAGTGCAAGTTGCTGAGAGGACAGTCCCCCCTGACCATTTGCCCGGGAAGGAGCAGTGTTTGCTCTGTGCACAAGGTTGCACTGGGGAGTAG